ATTTCTGATATTACACCACGTTTTGATAAACTTTGTTCTCAAAAGAAAGCCCATCCATCACACTAAACTTTGACATTTAAATGTTTGATTTTCTTTGCAGAAAAAATTAAATACTTGTTAGTTAAATGTCATTTTATTTCAATACATATTTTGGTTAATTGCAAGTGCTAAACTAATTTTTTATTGTAGGCCTAATATTGTGATACTTTAATTTTTAGTAAAATAACTGCTAAATAGTATGTAGAAAAACACAAAATAAACTGAATAAAACGTCAAACATACCATGAATTCTATTTTTATAAAAAAAAAAAACAGGCTGGGTGCCTGAGAGTATTTTCTCTTGTCAGGCGGGGGGCTCAGTGGTAAAATGTTTGAGAACCACTGGGTTATTGAATTGCTCTATATCCGGAAGTTGTTATCACCGAATAAGGATTCTTGGAACAAATAAATTGATTGATTGGTTGATTGATTGGCTTCTCGCTCGGCATACCCCTCGACCTTCAATAAGATACTCCTAAACGTTGGTAATCCGAACTACGTAGGTAAGTCAATAAGTAAGTTACAAATGGTTGATTGATTGGCTTCTCGCTCGGCATACCCCTCGACCTTCAATAAGATACTCCTAAACGTTGGTAATCCGAACTACGTAGGTAAGTCAATAAGTAAGTTACAAATGGATATACAACTTAAGCAAATAAGAGTACTGATTTGAAAAATACTTTTATTTCTCAACATAATCTCCCTGTACATTGAGGCACTTGTCCCATCGTTTCACAAGCCCCAGAAAACCAGCAGCATAAATTTCTTTGGGCTGCTGTCGGAACCAGGCGTGTTCACACGGCATGGCCTACCCCATAATGCATGACAGGTTGCATGCTTTCGTTGAATAGCCTTATGAAGTTTCCTAAGGATGTTAGAGTAGGAGTCAGCATTTACGGTTTGTCCTTGAGGCTGGAATGCGGTGAGCAGTATGCCTTCGTGATCCCAGAAGACGGAGGGCATCACTTTCCTGGAGGATGGGGTCACCTTAACTTTTTTTTTTTGGCAGGCGACACAGGATGTTTCCACTGCATTGACGCACGCTTTGTCTCGGGGTGGTAATGATGAGCCCAAGACTCATCACCTGTGACAATTCGGGCTAGCATATCGTGTCCTTCATCGTGGTAGCGATTGAGATGCTGTAATGCCAGACCCATTCTTTGCATTTTGTGTTGTGGGGTCAGCATGCGCGGCACCCCTCGTGCACGTGTATATAGTAGTTTGTTATTTTTTTAAATGTTGTATTTATGTATTGCTTATGATTGTAACAAATGTTGGTAGTATACTTGTAACTTTGTAGATTTATTTTAACTTGTACTACCGAATAACTTGTCCAAGTGTTACTATGTAGCAAAACGGATGAAATATAATACAATACAATACAATAGCATGCCATGCCACGCCAGAAGATACTCTTCCTCCTCGTAGTCACCGCGTGGTCACCCCTGGTGGAAAGGAGGGCATGCATTCGTTCGTCCCACTGTTAAACTCCGATGATCACAGGTTGTTAATCAGCACCGCTGACTGCGTGCAATATTGTGAAGGCAAAGATTGCAATATGTCATGGAGGCGAAGGTACAGCGTAACATTTGTTTAGATGCGAAACGTTATAGTTATTCAGTTTTTCATTGAATTTTAGAATTATGATTTAGTGTTGGTAAAATGTAAGTATTTAGTTCGCGGTACGTATGTATAAGTTGAAGCAGACTAGGTAAAAGTAGTATCATGAATGTCATACTAAGTAGTGTAAATCGTTCACGAGCTCAAATATTATATTTGAAGAGAGTATGATTGTCTTAAATTGAATTCCTTTGTATGTATTAACTGAAGCCGAAGGATATTGTAGTTCTGTGATGCGCAAGGAACACAACCACACAGTAAATATTCCACGAGTATAATGAATTATTTACGTTCGCAAAATCGATGACTTGACGAATTGACTTGTGTGTGACGCCATGTAGAATGGTAGATTGTTGCCGACGTTTCGGAGGATCGTGCAGCCTCCATTTTCAGAAAATGAACAGTAATAGCAGTCGTGTTTGTTTATTTGTATATGTTTTAAGTGTATTGCCCATCAAATATCTCATGAATTGGGGAGAAAGGGTTTAGATGTCCATTCATGGGTGAATGATTGTTCAGTTATTGAAGTATCATCTGGTGCCCTCAATTTTCTGGTTTAGAAGTTTAAAATCAACAGATTTATTTTCACAATGCTGCTCTATGTTTCTGATTATGAAGACTCATGTTACGATGCACACAGCTCTCTGTTGTATTCAGAAAGTTCTCCTATGGCACATAATTAAATTACTAACAAACCATAGATTTGATTACCTTTCATCTATGTTTTGAATTACTAGTTTTGAACTTTTATCAACAGATAGTGCCAACTTTCTATAAGAACATTATTATGTATTGTGTAGTACATAGCAGAAGTGTAGGAATTAGAATTTTGACTGATAATCCGTTTCAGCACAGCCTGTGAGAAAAATCATACTAAGACATATTAAAAGGGTGAAACATATTCATTTGTTTTAAATATGCTAAAATGCTGCTGTGGGAAAGTTAATGGAAAAGCTGAACTGTGTAAGAGTCAAATCTTTGTTCTTCATCACTTCAGCTCATGTATGTCCAACTTTAAAGCCACCTTTCCATCTATATCTCTATGTCCATCGGGCATATATTTAAGTGTGAAGTTTCCAGTTAGGGTAGTTGGCTTCAAGGCAAAAGTGATCACTATGAAATGTTGGAGTCTGATTCTGTATTTTTTGTTTTCTTAGCACATTATTATTATTATTATTATTATTATTATTATTATTATTATTATTATTAAAATACATTTCTTTGATCCAACAGTCACCCCATAGGGCTAGATATAAAAATTGTCATATATCATGTCAGAGACAATC